ATATATATATATATATATGTGTGTGTGTGTGTGTGTGTGTGTGTGTGTGTGTGTGTGTGTGTGTGTGTGTGTGTGTGTGTGTGCACGTATATATGTATATACATATAGATATATATATTTATACCTATATATGTATTTTTATAATATATGTACACATTATGTATATATATGTATACACACACACACACACACATACACATACACACACACACACACACACACACACACACACACACACACACACATATATATATATATATATATATATATATATATATATATATATATATATATATATATATTATACACATGCATACACACACATACAAACACACTTATAAAAATATAGGTATATATATTTATACCTATATAAATGTATAGGTATTATCTCTTATAGAAATATCAGTATTCTTGAGATAGGCAAATAAATCTTTCTCTGATTTTATATACAAATAATTAGACATCACAGGAACAAAGAGACAAAATCATACCCAAAAAGAAAAACTAAAAAGTTATCACTGAGGTTAAAGGCTTTCTATCGAAGGGAAGCCCGAAATCCTTCACTCAAGCGGCGGATGGCGGCTTAGGGCTTGAAAGGAGGGAAGAGGCCCGTTCACTTCTACTGTGTGGAGACTTCTTGTCCCATGCCCCAGGGACATATCCCTTAGAAATAGGGTCTGGTTATGGTGTGCTTGACTCCTTTTTGTGAACGGATAAATACAAAACCAAAGGAAAACACGCAAAAGTAAAAATATAAAGAACGAATAAAATAAAAATACGAGATCTCGTTCTGAAGGAATGAACATTAAAAAGGGACTTGGGTCTTAAGAATGGGGCATCTCTGCATTATGCTGATCAGTGTAAAAAAAAAAAAATAATAAAATAAATAAAAGAAAAAAAAAATAGTTGTAAATCTTATGTATTCTAAGTATCCACGCCCAGCATTTCCTAACAGGTATATAAAACGACTCATACACAACCTTGTCTCCCTGATCCAGCGACGCCACAGTAAAGAGTAATCCAGGGCCCACGCAAACACCAGGTCCAGAGACAACTCCCGTTAGGGTTTATTCTTTAAAGGTATTCATACAGGCTGGGCTACGTCATTGCGGCAACTGGTATTTGAACAACGTAACAATGTACAATTACTGAGGACTATTCTATGAAAAAAATAGTGTTAATTGATAATAAATAACAATATAAAGATTAAGCTAACAGGTGGAAACTTACTAAGAGATACATCGGAAACAGATTGACAGTGTATTAAAATACCGTAAATAAAAGTCAGTAAAACAGTTTACTCAATATAGTAAAACAAAACCAGAACAGTAAAATAATTTAGCAACACACATGCGTACCCGAGTGAGACTCCATTAATTAATTGAATCGATAACTAAGAAGGAAACATAAATATAAAAACGAAAAACGTTCAAAGTTATAAAACAGATATGGAAGAGTAATAAGAAATTGATTATTAATAAAATTTAAGATTTAAATAATCTTAAAAGAAAATGAAAACCTTAAATAATGTAAAATGAGTATAACAAAATAAAGGAAGAGGTTCATAATGAAAACAAATAAAAAAAAAAACAGTTCAAGTCATTAAGTAAAAAAATGAATGAATGAAAGACACGTATGTCTCCATCTACCATGTAAAAAGGACTTTACGTGGAATAAAGAGCGATAAAAACTCGCAAAACCAATGTGGTCACCTGGCTTATTCGCCACTCACGGATTCGAAGCGTCCGAAGCTCAAGGAGGGAAACTCGTGAACAACAATTACAACATCTATAATTTTACATATCTCAAGAAAAAAAAAACATGTCTTGGTAGCAGTAGAGTCGAGTCGTGTTGGTTGCGTGGACGGAAATGATTTCCATCGTGCTTGAGGGCCGCCCGCCGGATTGCCCAGTTTCGGACCAGGATTCGAGACTAAGTATCAAGGGTGTCGAGGGAACAGGTTGGGTATTAGGGTGGAGGATAGAGGGTAGGTATGAAGGCGTAAGTTTAAGAAATAAAAAACGAAAAGGAGAGAAATAAAAGCAAGCTAAGAGATAAAAATGAAAGAAACGAGCATGAGATTACCGAAGGAATAGAAAAGGTAGGAAACGAGGAGGTTAATATACGAGAAGAGAAGGATACAAAAGAACGTAGATCACGAAGTAAAAGAGGAAAGAGGGAAAAAATGAACGAAAGGAGTGAATGAGAGAAAGGAAACGAGAGAAAAGGATAAGATAGCATAACGAAGGAACGGGGAAAATGAGAAAATGAGGAGGATATTAGCATGGTAGAAAGTAAAGAATGAACGTAAGATTAGAAAGGGAAAGGGGAAATTAAAGAGGAAAGGGAACGAAAGAAATGAACGAAGAAGGAGTGAGAGACAGAGAGATAACGAGAGAAAGTAGTTAGAAGAGACGAAAGATAGTGAGTAAAGTAAATAGGATACAGGTTTCTGAAGGATGATACCTGAGGAAAGGGAAAGAGAGAGAGAGAGAGAGAGAGAGAGAGAGAGAGAGAGAGAGAGAGAGAGAGAGAGAGAGAGAGAGAGAGAGAGAGAGAGAGAGAGAGAGAGAGGAGGGAGGGAGGGGGGGGAGGAGACCTCACACTAACCTCTAGCTAGATACCGAAATGTTAATGACAAGCAATGGTCAGCAGGATTTGCTTTTCCCAGCTGAATATCCTTCTTCTCAATGTAAAGTTTCATAAGATACAACAACTCAATATAAAAATACTTCCATGCGTCCTCCAGCGTCTATACCTTCACTAGCTTACTTACAGCACTCGGGTCTTTTTTTCATGTCTTAACCTATAATTCACTTTGTTTTTTTTTCTCTTTCTTCACAAAGATAAAGAAACACAATACACAAAACTACGGTGAAGGAAGGGAAACTATCCTTGCGGTCTGTACAACGGTGACATAAGGGAAAGTGTTCTTGTGGTCCGTGCTTTCGCGGAGTCAACCCTCGGACATGTCTCGTTCGGCGCGGAGTCTCCTGTCATACGTCTGGCAGGGTGGACGGAGATGAATCGTGCTTGTGCATTAAGAAAGCCAGTTGTTCCGCGCTTTTGCCGGTTTGTTGTCAACCCAGAAAGGTGTTGACGTCACGATATTCTCAGAAAAAGGGTTACCGGCTGATACTGAGGCCTTTCCTTTCCTTTCATTAGTTGGTGTTAAGAGCGCACATTACCGGCAGTTCCGATGGATCATGCTGCTCTCTCATGTGATGTATGCTTGTACATCATTACACATTTTCGGTAAAGAAGGGGTTAATTCACATTCATGTGCCGTTTGTTTGGATTTGTTGATGAACAGAAATAAGTAAAAAGGAAAACATATATATTCGGACAGTTAATAGCGTAATGAAAATCAACATTTCCCGGAAAATGAAAATAAGTCCGGCTGGCAACCTGCAAGAAAAAAGGTACACCTGCGGTAGGTATGTAATTGCAATTAAATCAATCATATCGTAACTTGGGGTTATTTTGAATAGTATAGTCCTTAACAAGCTCCAATTTCTACAGCCATATTCACCCACATCCACACACATACTCAAAGATTATATGAAAGGGACTTAAAAATTATCTCCAAATATAGAGTAAACTTTTAAAACTTGAATAACTCCAAAAAATATATGTGTGCATGAATGCACACACTCATATACGCGTAATATTTGTGCAGATTTATACACAAACACACACACACATATATATATGTATTTACATATAGTGTATAAAATACACGTGTGCGTATGCATGTATACGTGTATACTGTGCATTATATCAGTATTATATGCCTGCGTGGCCCCCACGTGGATGCTCGCAGTGGCCACGTGGCGCCCACGCCCTGGCTACCCAAGCGGCGTGCCCACAACGGCGGGGCGGTCCTCCTCGCCCCCCAAGCCAGCGTCTCGGATACTTAAGGCCGCGTTTTGACCCCGGTCAGTGAGAGTGTGCCTTGGGTCGGTGGAGGTGACACCTGCCCGCTGGGCTGGGCACACCGGTGACCTCCGGTGACCAGCCTATAACCCAACACTCGTCATTTTTGTGTTAACAACCCGTGTGCTGAACTCTCATCAATAAAGGGTTTTAAGCCACCAAGCTTTTACTACTCCCTGTCACCAATGTTTAGAGACCTTATATTATGTCATTATTGTCTCTACCCACTCCCGCAGAGGAAGAGTCAATGCCCGAGCGAAAAGAAGTGAGGAGCAAGCTGTCGCCCTTGCAGCTCCCTCTCTCCACGCGGCTGATGGATCCAAAGGAGCGCCATAGGGGCCACGGCTCCGGGTTTTTCCTCGGGCTTGACTCCCGAAGCCTTTTCATCTTATAGATACCACAAGGCAGTGGATTGCTTTGTATAGGGTGGATGGATTCCCACAGCCTTGCTCCACACATTCTTTCGCTCAGGTATTGTCTCTACTTATAAGTGAGTGGGTTTAGACAATAATGCCATAGTCGACATCGACTGAAGGTGGCCGTCGATATATACATGTGTGTCTGTGTGTGTGTGTGTATTATATATATACATATACATATCTATATGTATATATAGACATATGCACACACACATATATATGTATATGTGTGTGTGTGTGTGTGTGTGTGTGTGTGTGTGTGTGTGTGTGTGTGTGTGTGTGTGTGCGTGTGTGTGTGTGTATGTGTGTATGTGTGTATGTGTGTGTGTGTGTGTGTGCACATATGACATGGCCAATATCAGTTGATTTCGACTTTGGCATTAACTCTTTCTAGCACATTAAATTGCATTTCGGAATAAATCAATCATTCATGTATATATACATACATATATATACACATATATGTATGTATGTATATATGTATGAATGTATATCATAGAATGTATGTATATATTCATTCTATCGTTATCGTCTGTAGATGCATTATCTTTTGTTTCCCCGTCAGGAACAAAACATTATTGCTGATAACCATTAGATGATAAACGCCTTTAGAGTGCAGGGCTGGATGGCGTTCAGTTCCCTCTC